GGGAGCACGGCAGCACTCCCGCCAAGGGTTCGGATCCCATGTGGAGACCGGTTCCCACTCACTGGCTGACCCCACACTCAAAGAGCAGCTTAGGATATCTTATCTCTGTCTTCCAGTCTCCTCCAGCAGTCCCCATCCCAGGATGAGAGAAAACTAAAGATATATACAGGATGAGTAAGTGGGATGGCAAAGTATATGTCATAGAGCTGGCCCAGTGGCTCACTGGAGAGTGTGCCACTTGGGAGCATGGCAACACTCCCGCTGAGGGTTCGGATCCCATGTGGAGACCAGTTCCCGCTCACTGGCTGAGCGCAGTGCGGGCGCAACACCGAGGGTTGCGATCCCCTTGCCGGTGCCCGGTACAGGCGCGACACTGAGGGTTGCAATCCCGTTACCGGTCAGTAAAAAAGAAAAAAAAAAAAGTATAAAAAATAAACAAATGGGACTATATCAAACTGAAAAGTTTCTGCACAGCAAAAGAAACAATTAACAGAGCTAAAAGACAGCCAACAGAGTGGGAGAAAATATTTGCAAAATACATATCTGACAAAGGACTAATATCCAGAATATATAAAGAACTCAAACAACTTTACAAGAAAAAAACAAGCAACCCAATCAAAAAATGGGCAAAAGAGCTAAGCAGGCATTTCTCTAAAGAAGATATACAAAAGGCCAACAGTCATATGAAAAAATGCTCAACATCACTCAGCATCCAGGAAATGCAAATCAAAACCACACTGAGATACCATCTCACCCCAGTTAGGATGGCAAAAATCCAAAAGACACCGAAAGATAAATGCTGGCATGGCTGCGGAGAAAAAGGAACTCTCTTACATTGTTGGTGGGAATGCACAATGGTGCAACCCCTATGGAAAATGGTTTGGAGGTTCCTCAAACAACTGAAGATAGATCTACCATACGATCCAGCTATCCCACTACTGGGAATATACCCAAAGGAATGGAAAACATCAAGTCGAAGGTATACCTGTTTCCCAATGTTCATTGCAGCACTCTTCACAATAGCCAAGAGCTGGAATCAACCCAAATGTCCATCATCGGATGAGTGGATACAGAAAATGTGGTATATCTACACAATGGAATACTACTCAGCTATAAAAATGAAGGAAATACTCCCATTTGCAACAACATGGATGGACCTTGAAAGAATAATACTGAGTGAAACGAGTCAGGCAGAGAAAAAGAAATACCACATGTTCTCACTTATTGGTGGGAGCTAAAAAAAAATAAAAACAAAAAACAAATCAATTCACTCACATACACACACACACACACACACACACAAAAAAAAAAACAAAATGACACAATAAGGGAAACTCCACGTGCAAAAACCTGCAGCATGAAGCAGAATTTTCTTCTAAGTCTCTAATTAGCACACCCATTCCTCATACACATGAACAGTAAAATGTCCTATTAAACAGTGGGTTATCCATCAACATGTGTAGCACGCAGCAGGATTTCAGCACAAACTCTAACTTTGCCAAGTAATTAGCCCCATAAAATTGTCTCATGACTTTAACTCCTATGGTGATAATACCTAGATCAGTAATAAGAGAATTTTCAAAAGCTGCATTAAGCCTTGAAAAGCTATTCATAACCAAAAAAACATGAGAACTATACTAATGTAAGAAGCCATTTTCCATGACAGACTAGCAAGGAATGAATTAAAAAAGCAAATCTGGAGTACAAGTCAAGTTGCAAGGAGGAGGAAGGAGAAAGGTGTTTCACCTTTATATACAGCAGTCTTCCCATGACTTTAATTAAAGAAGATCATGTCACCTTAAACACATACAAACAAAAGCAATTGCCTATTGTCAGAGAAGTGTATCCGGGCTTCTTAGAAATTACAGACCACAATTATGTCACCTCAACCATATTTATTTTAGCAGAGAAATTCTTCGACTTGTTTAGTCCATATTCCACTTTGATGGAATAAAACCCTATTATCCAATTACTTTTTTCATACTCCCAAACCCCTCTCCCCCATCACCACCCATATACAAAAACTGCTGCATAACATCTCTGATGGTCAGTTTTGTGTGTCAACTTGGCTAGGGTATAGATGCCAATTATTCAATCATACGCTAATCTAGGTGTTGCTGGGAAGGTATTTTGTAGATGTGATTAAAGCTCATAGTCAGTTGACTTCAAGTAAAGGAGATCATCATAGATAATCAGTCAGATGAAAGACCTTAAGATAACTGAGGCTTGCCTGGAGAAGAAGAAATTCCACCTAAGAACTGCAGCTTCAGCTCATACCTGAGAGTTTCAGCCTACCCTATGGATTTTGGAGCTGGAGCTGTGTATTTCTGTCCCCTAGCCAGCCTCTACAATCACATAAGCCAATTCTTTGCAATAAACCTCTTGAGATACATGCACATACCCATATATATGTTGTATGTACATGTACACCATGTATGTACATGCATGTATGTACTCCTACTGGTTCTATTTCTCTGGTTAAACCATGATTGATACACCATCCCAAACAGAACTGAGCACAAATTCTGGGGACAATTGAGCTGTTTTTGATGACGTCAGGAAAGTAAGGTCTATCTTGTATGAAATATCCTAAGAATTAACTATCCCATAAGCAAAAATGAGGTTACCACTCAAAAAGAAAGCCCCAGTAAGTGAACCATTATTCTGCAGCCCACCATTCATGCCTAAAAACCTTACAGCATCTGATCCAGACCACTTAGACCAAACCCTCTTTGACACTATCAGGAAGGCAGTGACAATGTGCAATCACGCTAAATCAGATACACAGGACAAAAATGATCTTGCCTGGAGTATGGTTGTAATAACCTTACCACTGAATCTAGAATGAAGGATCTCACTTAAGATGAAACATGAGACAATCTACCAGCAGCCCATTCATATACTTGTATTTGGACTTCTAATTTCACTGTGCAACACTTCTGAATGCATTTTTAAAGTAGAGGAATAGTCTACAATTAAATTTGATCTTAGAAAACTATGCTTACAGTAGAATAAAATAGCTAAATGAATAGATAGAGAACATGCCAAAAAAAAATCCTCTCCGCGGTTAGAGAACATGCCAAAAAAAAATCCTCTCCGCGGTGCATGCTTAATCTCTTCACTATTCTTGATCACTGAAACAAATCCACTGATGTAAAGATGAACAAAAAGAAATGACATAGAAAAAAATCAAGCAATTAAAACTACATTATCATTTCCAGGGCACTTGATAATCTAAAATTTGGCATGCAGTTTTTCCCATGAAATCTTGTTGATTTTCTTCAAAATCTACAGGTAACTTATTCAATGCAGTGGACTTTTTCCTCTAATAGAGAAAAATTTGCCTTTTCTATCACCATCTGTCAAAAATTCAGAATTTCCAGTTATGACAAGAGATAAGTAATTGCTAATTCCAGGAAGGGTAAGGGTATGAATGGTTGTCAGAACTCTCAGACCATCAGCCATTTGTGTAAATCAGAAACCAGACACTTGGGCTTCTGGGAAATGGGGCCATTAGCTTCAGAATTAAACAAGCTACTCCTAGCGAATCAGCTGCTATTAACTTTCATTAGCTAACATTTGCCCTCTTGATGGAGAGAAAGGAATGCTGTGATGTAGCACCAGAGAAAAAGAAAAGCCAAGAGAGGGCGTGAGGAAATAACAGAGGGTCAGCAGCCACTGGTGCTGTGGTTGGTTACAGAAGGACTTTGTTAGCTTACTTTGAGCTGGAAAGAATAGCAATAAAATATGTTATATCGGCCTGCATCGATAAGTCAAACTACATGATGGATAGCAAGTTATTGCTTCCCCAAAATAGGGTTCTCTTGGTTAAGTCTACCTCTTTTTCCCTTTGTTTTTTTCTGCCTTCCCTGTCTCATCAACAAATCAAAATTTCTTCTCCTTGATCTTCTCTTAATGTCGGTGCCCTTTTTTTCTCTTTCTAGTGTTGAAAACATGGAAGATCTACTACTTTGCCTTCATTGATTTGACTGACCACAGGCCCAAAAAGAAAGAAGAAAAAAGATTAGAGAACTCAGGTCATTGAGACCAGGTCATGAAGGTGGATGGTGTGACATTTTCTCTAGCTTTTTAACCAAACTTCCCTGCTCCAATGTCTGTGTCTACTCATGGCTCTAGGCATGAAGAAATCAGAGACTTGCCTGACCTTTGCTAGGGAAAACACTAAGAAATATTGTACTACTGTTCTTTTTGCATCTTCTCTCTGGATTATTTTGTGTATGTGGGGACAGAAGGGGATCCCTAGCAAGGCCTATCCACCATCACAAGCTATGCCTACCCTGCCTCTGAATATCCGCTCCCATTGTGAAAGATAAGCTTAGGATGAAGATTCTAGAGGATGGTATAAACTTTGTGCATGATTCTCATGCAGGCGAGATTTGTCAGAAAGCACAGGGACTCAGGTGAGGATATAGGGCATGTATTCTTTGAAAAAGCTTATTTCATATTATTATACATATTTTTATTTGGAAAATTAAAAACAAAAAACCTATTGCTTTAATAATACAAACTATTCTAAGAAAACCTTCAAAATATCTCCCAAGGTTGTACAGAAATATGGAAGATTGATTCTATATAGTTCTAGATGGAAGAAAAGGCACAGAATCTCAATGTTAGTGGCCAGGGGTGTGAAATTTTTGTACTTATCAGAAGGGAACAAGATTTTATAAAGCCTGATAAGTATGTTCTAGTCAATAGTTTTCAAAATGTATGAAACAGTAACCTACCAGGAAGGAAGGAGTCCCATAAACCAGGGGCAAGAACTGCCTACTTCAGATCCAGTCCCTCTGCCAGCCCCCCACATGATTCCTTGCTAGGCTTAAAGCAGTCCCTTGGCCCTGTGCTAGCTGCTGCAGCCTGCCTTGCTCTCTCTTCCTCTCTGGTCTGTCAGATGCTGAGTGCAGTGGTGAAGTGATTCAAAAACATTCTTATCATTGGCCATCCCTGATCTAGATTAATGAAGGGTGTGATGCAAAGAATACCTTCACAGGCAGACACTTCTGTGCTATCTTCTTCGTGGGCAGAGAGCAAATAGCTGAACTTCGGTTTCTGCTCCAATTCTGTCCACTTTCCTTTCTCAGATGCTCCTGAGCGGAAACTCTGGGACCGGGACACGGAAATCTCAAATGGTTTGATCACCTCCCCATCAGTGTCAGAAGATGTGCACAGCTCTTCATCTTCCCCAAAGCTGTTAACTGGGAGCAAACGACAAGAGCCATGAGTCTCCTGTGTGGCCCACGATCCAATGCAGAGATGGACCATCACCGAGGAAAACAGAAGAGAGGAACACGGACATTAGTCTGGATCAAAGCAGGCTCAAACTGCATAAAGAGAATTTAAAGCACTTTTGAAACACAAATTTGAGTCCAAAGGAATGAAACAAGAAACGAAAGCTTATAAAGATAATTATAAATATATGGAGAAACCATTGGGACCCCCACAATCAACATAATGAGCCCTCGTGTTGACCTGGGAAGACTTGCCTATTTGTTCTTTATACAGGTCTGTGTCCGTAACCTAGAACGGGGCATTTATCAGTGCATCTGCCTTATGTGCAGTTCTAGTAAATGGCAATAAGATATATGCTCTTCACCTCATGTTGTACATCAGATCTTTACACTTGCTCATCCTACATATCTGCTACTTTGTATCCTTTCACCTACATCTCTCCATTTCTACCCCCCTCCATCCCACCCCTGAAAACCTTGTTTTATTCTCTATTTCTGTATATTTAACCGTTTTTTGATTTTTTTTTAAGATTCCACATATAAGTGAGATCATGCAATCACGCAATATGTTTCTTTCTGTTTCTGGCTCATTTCACTTAGCATAATGTCCTCCATATTGCAAATGGTAGGGTCTCCTTTTTGAAAAAAAACTCAGTAGTATTATTCCATTGTATATATGAGGGTACTTCAAAAAGTTCATGAACAATTGAATTGAAAGATAATATGAATCTTTTCATAAACTTTTTATAATACCCTCCTATATGCTACATTTTCCTTATCCATTTGTCCATCAATAGACACTTATGTTGTTTCCATATCTTGGCTATTGTGAATAATGCTGCAATGAACATGGGAGTGTGGGTGTCTTTACAAGGTGATGATTTTATCTCCTTTGGGCATACCCAAAATTGTGACTCTTGGATAATATGGTGGTTGCATTTTTAGCTTCTTTAGGAACCTCCATACTTTTTTTCTTTATGGCTTCCACATTCCCATCAATAGTGTACTAGGATTCCCTTTACTCCACACCCTTACCTAGTCTTTTTGATAACAGCCATCCTAAGAAACACACTTTGAATTATTTGTGTACTTTCCCCACATCCTCCACACACCAGCACCCCAACCCTCCTTCAGCTTCTCTGCTGAGATTGTTCCTGCTCTTGAGTTCTTTGCCATTGTTCCCTCTGCCTCCCTCCGCTGTTTACACGGCTGGCTCCTTCACATCATTCAGGTCTCAGCTTGACTGTCACTTCATCCTAAAGGCTTCCCTGAACATCCTCCCTTAAATAGTTCTCCTCATAAAACTAATCTTTATTTCTCTGTTCTCTCCTGTA